TTTATGGTTTAATTAACGAAGCTCAGCAGCTTAGTTTACATAGAATCCAATTATAGGATTTTTCAGCGAACGATGAATACTAACGGCTGTGGAAGGAATATGATATGTTACCCCTGAATTTCCTGTAGAAGCAGGGCAGGAGCACGAATATTGTCACACAGAATATCTGGCCTTCGGATCCACATTTCAACCCAGAAATTGCCTAATACGAAGCTCAGGCACTATCCCCTGCATTGCAACTTTCAGTTAATCAGGTTCTAGAAGACTCATAGCCTACACGTCGAAAGCTGTTACAATCATACACCATCCGTCCACGAAATATAACGGATCTGTTCTTCCTGTATGAACCATTCGGCCGCTGCATACAGCAGCATACAACTGCGCGGCCTTTCTTACGTGATGATATTTCATTCCCGAGCCTGTATGAATGAATCTAGTAAACCTTGCTCGTTGTTCGATTTGTCTGAAGAAGTTCCGTTAAGAGCTTTAATGGTAAGTTCCCCGTATAGTATTATATAGGGATTCATACGCGTGGACAGTAGACTTCTTTTATTGCTAGTGGGGTGGGACTGTCCCTTGTACTGCGGCCACTTCTGGCTTATTGTACCAGCCCCAGATGATAGGCGAGGGTGATTGTGGAGCAATTGGTGGAATGAAGATTGGCAGGGGAAACCGAAGTACTCGGAGGAAACCTGCCCCAGTGCCACTTTGTCCACCACTAATCCTACTTGACCAGACCCGGGATCGAATCCGGGCCGCCGCGGTGGGAAGCCAGCGACTAGCCGCTTCACCTATGGCGCGGCCTAACACTAGACATTTATCTACCCAGTGCGTCTTCTACATTTTTTGATACCTTGGTATTAATATTTCTAATACGATACTGGAAACCTCCTAGGTCAGATCATGTTTAACTCTTTAAAGTCTACTCAGAGTTATTTTACGACTGGAGGTTTACCTCAATCAGTTCTCGGTGACAAGCCCCTTGAGACTCATGACCAAAATTTGTTTCCAACTGAGCACTTGTGGTCATAGTCCTTATGTAACATCCACTATGACAAGAGAATAGGTCGGTCGTTTACAATTGCTGCTGGTATTCGCCAGCACAGTCATTCTTATGTCCGAGTCCCACAGGACGGTTTACTGTCTCCCCCAGCCTGGAGGGCCAGGAACAGAATGACCCAGTTATACCCCAAGACATTGGGTTTCCTACTTGTCGGTGCCTACGACTTGTAGGGCTATGGTGACGGTATTCGAACCCATCTACATACGAAACACATTACGTCTCCGCTACATAGATCAATTGGATATGATATTTAGGGGAAAATGCTGTTTATTACGAAAAAATATAAAACACGCAAATACAATAGGCTGGCAGAATTCAGAGGTACGTATGTGAAATCATGTGGTATATATACAACCATCTGATTTTAAAAAGTTAAATACACGATTTCCACAAAGTAATGGTGTATGGCAATTTAATTAAAGATAAACTAGAGAAGAAAAATTATCAAAAATGTTTTATTGCATATAAGAACACAAACGTCATGCCATTTTCACACAAAGTAATGAATTCTATATGTGTACCACGTGTCACTCTACAAACATCAAATCTGGAACCGCTTTTTAGCATTTCCAGCGGAACAGTATAAGTACAGGTTTAGATTCCATGACTCAGATCTCGGATTTCCTCGGAGTAGGGTGTTCCCATGGTTTAGCAATCAGAGTAATGCATGGTTATTTGAAGTGTGCGCACGGTGGGTGCCCAGAGAACTGAAGGATCGAGATAAAATTAACCGAATGGATCTGTCCTTCCAACACTCCTACGGTATGCAGATCAAGGAGAACATATCCTTAACAGAATTGTTACTGGGGACAAATCATGGGTGCATCACTACCAACCTGAATCAGTGTGCACTTGTATGCAACTGAAATATCCCACTTCACTTTCTCGTTACGTCATCAGCTGGGAAGGTTATGCTTGCCGCGTTTTGTGATTCTCAGGGAGTACTGTCAGCCCATTTTCAGAATCGTGGTAAAAATATGAATTTTGCATCGTATCGTGAAGTTCTGTTGAAGATGCTGGATGCAATTCGCAGAAAACGGCCACGCCAATTGGCAAGAGGGGTACTGCTTCATCATGACAACGCCAGACAGCAAAGCCCGAGCGACCCAGGAGAGGATTCAAGAACTACAAAGAAAACTTCTTGAACATCCACCTTACAGCCCGGACTTGGCCCCTAGTGACTTCCGTCTGTGTGATCCGCTAAAACTCACCTTGGCGGCAAACGCTTCGTTGATGACGAAGAGGTCGAAACGGATGTGCGGAAGAGCCTGAGACAGCAAACAAAAACTTGCATCCTGCGATTTTCGACGCACTGGTAAAGCGACAGGACAAGTGTAACAATGTTGGTGGAGGATATGTCGAGAAATACATGTTTTTTTTTTTCACTTTCGAATATTACATGCTTTATATTTTTTTTATCTATTTGTCACGAATTTACTCATTCTCCCTCGTATAACTTCACAATAACTCATCAATCTGAATAAATATCGGGACTGCCGAGCAAGTAACAAGAAAAATCCACGACCGTTTCCCTTTAAACTCTTACCAACCTCGTATTTGCCACTTTCCCATCATATTTGACTTCCTATAAATTCTTAAGTGGAAACAGCATCATTATACATAACCCAAGACTCAACGTTCTTTGTAATAATATGCAAAAAAAAACTCATTCACAATTCGCGTACTTGTGTTTTCGCAGCCGGAGTTTAATGTATGACTTTAAACGTTTTGGCGAACATTTTAGTGAATTAAATGCTGAATTTTTTTCTTCCTCTCGCTCCAACTTTGGAGTACAGGGCTGATTTGTCAGTTTCACTGATCATTTTTACAGACGGTAGGACTCCTTGGGCGGGTGATCAGCTCGTCGCAAGGCCTCTACATAAACACAGTACAACACAGACACAGAATAAATGCATACACATACACACATACACACACACACACACACCAAACATCCATTCATTGTGTGGGATTCAAAACCACGATCCCGGCTTTTGAGCGAGCGGAGACAGTACATGTCTCAGACCGCTCGGCTACCGTGACCGGCTAGATGTTGATTAGTGTTATCTAAATCTATGTTGGTACTGTTGCAAATATAGACGGAAGATTACAATGATCTTTCAATACAACAAGATGCTGAAATATAATAATAATAATAATAGTGTGAGTTCAGGACTAGGTGCCCCGAATACTGAGGACTTTCTAAAGTTGCGGTAAACCTTGCAGTTCTCATATCCAGGCCTAATTACTCGTGGGGTAGGTGGGGTTAGAAGCTTCTACAAAGCTCTATAAGAGGTATTAAACTGCTCTCAAAGCCACTATACCTGAAGACGGTAAGGTTCCAAGGGTTTGCTGAAACGTTTAAAACCCCTCAACGTTCAACGCCGACTGATCCCGAAACACGAAACCACACAGCTCATGTACACGCACAGTTCTACGACGTTAATGGTAACGCTTTAAACTGATGTGGAAGTCCGAAGTCTTCGGCTTGAGTTTCCGGTATGATACATGATGGAATTGACCCAGTTATGGGCGCTCTGAAATGTTTTCCTTTCGTTAGGTAACTGAGTAAAAATCGGCTAAAGGCACAATAATGCGATCAGAAGTAATATACGTTGAAAACTCAGAGACTGGAGATTTCCAGGTGTTTGTAAGCAAAAACAAAAACTCCTGGTCCATTTGTCTTCCGAAACATCTTCCGCTGGTATGAACTCCTCATACATTAATGTTTCAATCCCTCAGCCTTTTTAGTTTCCTCAGTTTCACCTCCGCCATTCGGTTATTAGGTGACCATAGTGAATGAAGTCGGCCACGGTAGCCGAGCGGTCTAAGACATGTACTGTCTTCGCTCGCTCGGAAGCCGGGATCGTGGGTTCGAATTCCACTCAGGGCATGGATGTTTGGTGTGTGTATGCGTTTATTCTGCGTTTGTGTTGTCCTGTGTTTAGGTACAGGCCTTAGGACGAGCTAATCACCCCTCCAAGGAGTCCTGCCGTCTGTAAAAATGATCATGAAACTGAGAAATCAGTCCTGTACTCCAAAATGGGAGCAAGAAGAGAAAAACAATAAGGCATGAAGTTATTTACATCTAATGCTCTAATTTACTGGGAAGTGTTTAATGCATAAGGCGATCAGCACTCGGCGTCACGGTGCTAACAGAACATTGTCAAACGGAACATATACATTTGTAAGCTTTTGATGATAAATATGTAACGCTTTATTGTAGTATCTTAGATAAATCTCATGGTTCAAGCAGTTAGCTGCCGGCTTCCTATCACGGCGGCCCGGGTTCTATCCAAATCAGACCATTTGGGGTGTGTTGTGGATAAAGTTGTATTGCGGTAGGCTACATCCGATTATTTCAGTTTCTTTGCAAATTTTCATTCCACCAACTGATCCACATTCACGTCCTCACACTCCAACCATAAGATCCATAATATGAAACTACTGGTTTAATGAAGGTCTTGTAAATAAACATTTCTATGAAAAAATACAGCTGATGACAGGGAGATCACTGTTGGCAGATCCATTTACCGGCAGTCAGCACTACCTGCAACCAGGGCGTGCTGCGATCTGTCGTCAAATAGTGTTACTATAATCTCAAGGGGAACCATAACAGTTTTATTACAGAGAACTGAAGTTGGACTAGAATGGACAATGACAGACACTCGTTGTTTACACTTCGTCACATACCGAGGGGACACGTACAGGCGTATGGACACTGTTCATGACATGGCCTCACGGCATGGAAATCGTCCCATCCGAAACAGAATTCTATATACTCTATTTACAGCCTGTAATAAAATAAGTAACGTATGTAAAATGCTTCACGACAGCAAGTAATATGTTTTTGGACATTATCCATAGTCATAAACTTTTAGATCTTAACTGCTTCACGACAAATTCATAATTATGTGGTCAGAAGTCCTCTTACCTTTTAGTTTAACAGCCCTGAAAACGTCTGAGGTCCAAAGTCCACTCACCTGGAACATGTTAAACTATGTAAATAGGAGAAGTTCATGATGTTTATAAGTGGATGTATTTAATTTTTTATAGGATTTTCAGAAATCTGAATTCAGACAGTAAGTTACAAAACACGGGAAACCCTCGGAAAATATCTTATAACTGTACTAAGCGTTTGTATTTACAAACATGAATAGACGCCGAGAAAAGTGAAGGAACTTCTAAGAGAGAGAAACGTGGGGAAAAGGTGGATATTTTCCAAACACAGTGCATTCTTTGCGAACGTACTGTCCTCAAAGGTTTGTTGCCTGTCTGTTGCAGGTACAAATTAATGCTCTCCGGGAGATGAACAGGGAGAAATTATGTAAGGTATATCCATGAACTTAGCCGGTCACGGTAGCCGAGCGGTCTAAGGCATGCACTGTCTTCGCTCGCTCGGAAACCGAGATCGTGGGTTCGAATCCCACTCAGGGCATGGATGTTTGTGTGCGTTTTTCTGTGTTTGTCTACAGGTAGGGGCCTTGCGACGAGCTGATCACTCGCCCAAGGAGTCCTACCGAATGTGTAAGATCTAGTAAACCGAAGTGAAACGGAGAGTTTCATGGAGGTAGGCCTAGGCCCAAATTGGGGCTGTAGCGCCACAGAAAAAAAAAAAATATCCATGAACTTGGAAAAATTATTGGCAAAGTGTTTATTAAGAATGTGCACCCATAAAGAATCTAAGTATATAGCGTACTGCTATCAGCTTCACAGCACATAGATGCGAATTTCATACTAATTGCACTTGTAATAAAAGAACATTTTACCACGGAGTAGAAATTACTTGGAATAAATGATACACTCATATCACCGAAACATTTTCTTCGACGATAACATGATCGTTTATGTAACAGAAATGACCGCATGAATTCAAAGTCTCAAGTTCTGTATTAAGCTGGTGCTTTTGTACATCACACTGATCAATTTTGGAACGTATAAGAGTAATTGATAATTATTAACCTTTTTATGTACTGTAAATAACTATATATAAAACTGTGTACATTTTTAACATCATCCGGTTTTATAAGTCAATAATTGCATTTTAATTTCAAATGCCTGCACAGCTGAACACATCTTGTTCTGGATATGCACAGGACTATTTGTTCTTAAATTATGTAGACCCAAATCGTTTTAGGACAGAGGTTCGTGTGTTATTGTGAATTAAAACAATAGCTTGCTATTTCTATTGCTCGTCATACGACTTGTTATAGCTAACTCAATGCGTTGTTGAAAACACTACAAACCTACCCAATATCGCGTGTAAAATAATTTCCCATATTTAACATTGCGTTTCACGACAGTGTGAAGCGAAGCCTGGGCAAAGAGAGTCGGCTCTTTCGGCATATATCCTTAGAACAGGTAGTGTTTCCACTTCCTAACCCACAGTTCATAATTATCGTGTATTACGTGTATCTGATTCCATAAATTTGGGAGCAAAGATCTTAGGATTCATAACAATTCTGAAAAGCACAGAGTAGCCCAGTTTGAAACTAAAAGAGTATGAAAAGGCATGAACTGTGTTAGGACAGAGCTCATCACACGCATAAAAATATTAAGGAGATATTTGCATGACATGTATAAAATGAAAGCATAACAGCACAGCCAAAACCCGTAAACGAATGCCGACATTTTGAAACAGGGGGCTCTACTCGTTTCCTTGAAACTGATAAGGCAATATTAACTTTGGTTTTACCTGCAGAATATAGTTCCTCCCTCATGCTTTACTTGAAGCTCAATTTCGAAGTCATTAGTTCTCCAAAAAAGACCTCTTTGTAAAAACATCGACCTTTCACATACAAATATAGATTCCATTATGATCTGCGGTTTTAAGAGAAAAAAAATGTTTACGTTTACACATGTATGCTTTCCTGTCTCCTAGCAACATTTGGGCCTAGGTTAACAGATAGTTCAAACCATTCCTGATGATTGATTTATGTGACCATGTGACTGATTTTCCCCATTATCGCTTACCAGCGAATGGCTAAGTAGACCGAAGATGAAGTTGTCCCCTGCCTATAGGCCTATACTGATATTATCTACATGTCCTGCTCTCTTAGCCTTCGGGAAACCTTCGCTCTCCTCGGGAGGCAGCAAGGTTGTACCGTTATCTGCCGAAACCTCACCGACGTGTACTTTAACCTGTCGGTCTGTCGGCGCGGTGATTGTTGTGTGTGCCAACTGGAAGCAGAAAACAGCTGGCAGAATTGAGAACATGGTTGTTTGAACGTCCCTAGTGAAATCGAGGACGCATGATGGACCCCACAGTGGTCCGAATTCTTTCATCGACTGTAAATTTTCCCATCATTCCAACACTTCGTAGCCCTGGAGCAAAGTAAAGGCCAACTCCTCCGCAGACCAGTAAAGTTCACAGCAATGCGTCACAACTTCTGTCCCTCCTTTGTCTCATTGAGTTCATGATATATCATTGAGATATATTTCCTGAGAAGCATCAGACAAACAGGCTGATGAACGTACCAAGGATAACAGAAGCTACGCTTATACAAAATCCAACAGCTTTTAAAACTTGTTTTCCAGTGTTCCCGATTCGTTTAAATCCTATAATAAACGAAGGAAATGTTCGCTGGGAAAACAGGCAGCTCTGCAGACGATAGACACAAGAATCAGTATTTGGGTGCTCCCCAACTTCGGTAGTGATTTCGTCTCTCATTATTGCTGCCATGTCTCTCAAGTGACAGATGAATTAACTCAAGGGAACAACTTCTTGAGATGCTTACAGTGGTTCAGCTGGTCAATAAATTCTCTGCCCTTATGAAATTCGAGGGAACATTACCATATTCACAAGAGCCCACCATTGGAACCCATCCTGAACCAAGCAAGGTCAGTCTACGCTGTTTAATCACTCTCAGGACCGTTTTAATTTTGTATTATTAACCCATTTTCATTATTTTGAAAAAAAAATAAAAGTACGCCTATGAGATCATCATGCTATCTGTGTTTCTATGAACTCCACCCCCACCCATCAATTTTTGAATGCCCGAACCAGTCTTAATGAAACTTGGTATTTATATCATGGTGCTTAAGCGCAGCTGAACGACATACTTCATAAATGCCTCCCATAAGTTCGGCTCTGTATGTGTATGTTGCTAGATAGAGGGTGAGAGCTCAGAGCTGGTCTGGACGCTAGAGAGAAGAGAAGACTTCTATGCTGACTGAGCTTCCAGCTCTCATAAAAATTCATGTAGACTTATGTAGATGCATTAAGAATCTATCTCCATGCTCACTCACTCACTCACTCACTCATGGAACTGAGTCCTTCTTGAGAAGCTGCCAATTGTGCAGCTACTCAAGAATTTCCCAGCATTTTATGGAACCCAAAGGTTCATTACCGTGTTCACAACAGCCCTCCACTGGTCCCTATCCTGAGCCAGATTAATCCAATCCATACCATCCAATCCTATCTCTTTAAGATCCATTTTAATATGGTCCACCCACGTACGTCTTGGCCATCCCAGTGGTCTCCTTCCTTCCGGGTTTCCCACCAATATCGTATATGCATTCCTCCTCTCCTTCATTCGTTCTATATGACCTGCCCATCTCATCCTCTTGAATTGTGCATTCTAATTACATTTGGCGAAAACGTAAGTTATGACGCTCCTCATTATGCACTTTTCTCCAACCTCCCGTCACTTCATTTCTCTTCGGTCCAAATATTTTCCTCAGCATCCTGTATCTATCTCCATGCAAAAATGTATATATCTGATTAAGGGTTCATTAATTATCGTCATTAAATCATGAGATGAATGTAGATTCTGCGCGGCTGGAAACTTATTGCTCGTTGTTCTGCAAGAAAATGCTTTGACAAAGGTTTCGGTATAATTCAAAGTCCTATTACCTCACAGCACTTTCAAGTTTCTACGTCCGTTATGAAGATTCTGTCGTCACACGTAATGCCGATATTAAAGATGACAGCAAATTAAAAAGCGCCAAGGTAATGTGGCTTAATGTGGCATGACATTCACACAAAATTTATGAAATTGCGTCAGTTGTCTAAGACTTCAAAGCGGTGGAGTGGGGTAGACAAACGTAACTCTGATATAATAAAAAAATAAACACAGGCCAAAAATTAATTACTCTACTTTTACGTTGGCAACCGTCGAAACGTCTCTAGATCTTGGGTCTCTAGATTTTCTTTTTCTTCTAAGGATGGAGAACTAGATTTACTAGTGCGTGAAAAACATCTTGGAAAATTATCCCGTTTATTTTTGCAGAGCTTCGTAAGTTCACTGGCTGTGAGGAACATTAACACAAGCCAACACAGAACGTATATTAAACAGTACTTTAATTGCAAACCAACCAAGAGTTCCTTTCAACTACACGTTTGTTTTTAAAGAGAGAAAAAAATCTTGAGTCAGCGTCGTATTGCAATAATAGGATTGAAGATTACAGGATGCCATGTAATTACTTCCGTTTTCTAGATTCGTCCAGGCTTCATCTGTACTCTCTTTTACCATCTCCAGTGGTAGTCCACAAGCAAAATCCGTCTACACCATTTATCTCCTACACTAGCCCCCTCCCTTTTACTCCAAAAAGAGAGGACGTTAGCGACATCTGCATGCACGAGTAATTACTGTTTCGGGGCTGGCTCAGCACCCTCCCATTTTCCTCTACAGCCAGGCTACCACAGATAATAATTACTGGTGCTGGCACTAGCTGCTGGTATGAAAGTCATCCGGCTGACTACTACACATATCCATTCGCCCATCTATTCATCATTCGGCCCCTCCCTCCCTCCTGTGTACAGCCATCCAATATTCCAAATATATTCGTCTAGTTTTACTTTTGTACACATTCAGCGTTCGCCTGTTCTAGGATACTGTTGGATTTGTTGATTATTCCCTGTAACTGGGAAGGATTTAATTATTTATGAACCTGCTGCTGCTACTACCGCTACTACTACTACTACTGCTACTACTACTACTACTACCACCACCACCAGTACTACTACTGCCAGTACTACTAC